TCTGCCATCCTCTAGGTAAAGTACGGTTAATGTATTATATTATTGAGGGAGAATTTGTCCGGGGCTAAAGAAAAAACATCCGGGGCTAAAGCCCCGGATGCCTACCCCAGGCTACGCCCATGCTGACGACCCTTGGACCCCCTGCTTCCGGCACCCATGCTGACGAGGATACGTTTATTTTTGCATTCACATGCAGATATGCGTTTATAGAGAATACAAGTAATCTTTGCATAACTTTATTTCGCTGACTTCCGGTTTGTACTGTCGGCAAATCCAGTGTCCAGCTTTTCGGTGTGTGACAACGTCATGTTTGTTGCATACCTGCAAGATTTACCTGTGACAAATGTCTGCGATGTGAACAGAACGGTCGCCCTACTTTCACCTGCACCCAGCAGCAAGCGGGAGAACGATATCTCATACAGTCGACCCCTAAAACAGTTCACACAGTAATGGAACAGTTGTTAAGCATTATTTGTCCAACTAGTCTACATTATGAATGTGATGTTTGTCTAAACTGCTAAGAAGCTGACAGCTGAATTAGAACAGAAAGACATGCAGGCCATAATCATTAGACGCTCAAAAGAGGAATGTGTGTGTAAGGCTTACATGAACTGAATTGAAACACTGTCCATTAGTTGATTAATAAACAAGACATTCAAGTCAAAGTTTTAGGCATTTTCATTTGTAGCACGCTGTAAATATGGACTATGAATGAACACATGCAATGTGGAAACACACAAATAGGTTTATTCTCAATACTCATAACAGTATCAGACACAATGACTTTACTGAGAGTGAAGATGACATGAACATAGTTACTGTATGGTACTGAAGACAACATACAGTATATTGCATTTACCTCTTCCTCTAACTCTCTCTCCAATATTGGCCTCCATTGTTGTGCACAGCTTCTTACTGTCCTAATGTGCACAATGTAGTGACTGCTTTTTTGTCTTTTGTTTTCTTAGTTATGTTCTCTGTATTTTATATGTTTGTGTTATGTGTAACGTTGCTGCCTTCTTGGCCAGGTCAGCATTGCAAATGATATTCTATCTCAATGCTACGGTGGCCCTGAAGTGCAAGACACCACAGCATTTCAGAAAACACTACAGCATTTCAGAAAACACCACAGCATTTAAGAAAACACCACAGCATTTCACAAAACACTACAGCATTTCACAAAACACTACAGCATTTCAGAAAACGCCACAGCATTTCACAAAACGCCATAGCATTTCACAAAACACTACAGCATTTCAGAAAACGCCGCAGTATTTCAAAAAACGCCACAGCATTTCACATTGAAAGGCTATTCCTTAGGGAGAACACTTCTTGTTTGTGATTGGACATAGCCAGCCATAGAAGCACTGCTGTGATTGGTTGTTTTTGCTGCCAGTCAAGAAATGACGCTGCGTGATTGGCCCAACACATCAGCCGTTAGCTGTTAGCACACACTCAGAGCTCACAGCTCCTCATATCTGTTCAGAAACTGGACAAAAGTTAAACAAGTACAAAACACAGACTGTCTATGTCATTTCGAATACAGTCGCTGCTTTATGTATGTCTGTATGACGTTGTTGTGAGTGTGGACGGAGCAGCTACAGGTTAGTTTAGCCTGATCGATCCGATTCCGATAGGATTTACATGGAGATACTGCCCGCCCCCAGAATTAAACACATAATTAATGCTTTATTAATTCATGGTTTTTAAGGGGCTTATCTCCATGTAAATACTATGGTAGACCACCCAATATTCGCATCGCTCTAATCGCTCGAGTTTCACCGTGGCTGTCAGCTGTGTTTGCTCCTGTCATTCAAACAAGAGGCGCTGGAGAAGGGGCGGGGTGTATCTCCAAGTAAATCCTATGGGAGATACCAACTACAACAAAATGAACATATTTGACCGTGATTGAATTGTAATACACGTTTCAAAGTGATGCCGAAGTAACTACATACTGATAACGGTTAGTAAAAACCATGAATTAACGCTTTGACAAGTCTGCAGATAAGACGGCAGGCGAAAAGCTTTTAAAATGCGTGTTTTCTGAATGGAATCGGATCCATCAGGCTAAACTAACCTGTAGCTGCTCCGTCCACACTCACAACAACGTCATACAGACATAAATAAAGCAGCGACTGTATTCGCCATGACATAGACAGTCTGTGGTTTGTACATGTTTAACTTGTGTCCAGTTTCTGAACAGATATGAGGAGCTGTGAGCTCTGAGTGTGTGCTAACGGCTGATGTGTTGGGACATATTTCGCTTTCGGGTGTTGACCAATCACGAAGCGTCATTTCTTGACTGGCAGCAAAAACAACCAATCACAGCAGTGCTTCTCTGGCTGGCTCTGTCCAATCACAAACAAGAAGTGTTCTCCCTAAAGCAGGGGTGGGGAACCTTTTTCCTCTCAAGGGCCATTTCAATGTTTTCAACATCCTCCGAGGGCCGTACAAATTATTGACCTCTGCTTAAAAATCACAGCCCATTCATTTGGCCTTTCTTTCATGCTGTGCAAAGAAAAAGCAACCTCTTAATCCAGATATCTTGCCATGACTCGCGCATGCATGCACGTGCACGGTGTGGCATGACCACCAAACAGAAAGATATGGATACAAGATGTGTGCAAATGTATTTAGTTTCCTATCCATGTGGACATTATTTAAGTGGGGGGGACCTATAACCTCCTCTAGGGGGGTCCGGGTCCCCCGGGAAGATTTTTTTTTAAATATTGAAGTTAAAAGCATCAATCTGGTGCACTTTGAGAGCAAAATGAAGAGATCTATGGAAACATCTCTCAACACCCATATGAAACAGAACTGTAAGCAGATTTTCTTTTTCTTTATGGATATTTTACAAATCAATCTCCTTTCAAACTGTATTATTGTTTATTAATAACAACTTTTGTTTACTGTCATATAGTATTGTATACCTGTTTACTTTATTCTCTTATTTTTTTTATAACTATAATGATCATATAAAGATGTGCCTTTACCTCACTGGTTGGAGAAAAAGCTTCTTATATTCGTTAGCATAGCGAGCTAACCAGATGCTAATAACAACAAAGTTATTGACTGTATGATCAGTATGACAGATGAACAGATCGCCACTGGGCTTTCAGCTAAAGACACAGTCACGCAAAAACTGCAGCATGTGTACGGATTTATGGGTAGGCCTACGCCTACTGCAATTTTTGAAGTCCCGGAGTGGCGTTCTGGTGCTCTCCGTCAGAACTGCACCCCTGTCAGACGAGACATATACCACGTGATGACACGTTAGGCTCGTGTTGTGTTCAAGGACCATGACCGTTGCCAGGAAAAACAGGCACTCGCTTGTTTAATTATTTTGCGGTCTAGATTTCTTAAATTTTTTGCGTGTGTTTATAAATTACCTCGAGGGCCATACCAAATGGCTCCCCACCCCTGCCCTAAAGGAATACCCTTTCCGTCCAATGTGAAATGCTGTGGTGTTTTCTGAAATGCTGTGGCGTTTTGTGAAATGCTGTGGTGTTTTCTGAAATGCTGTTGTGTTTTCTGAAATGCTATGGCGTTTTGTGAAATGCTGTGGCGTTTTGTTAAATGCTGTGGCGTTTTCTGAAATACTGCGGCGTTTTCTGAAATGCTGTAGTGTTTTGTGAAATGCTGTGGTGTTTTCTTAAATGCTGTGGTGTTTTCTGAAATGCTGTAGTGTTTTCTGAAATGCTGTGGTGTCTTGCACTTCAGGGCCACCGTAGCATTGAGATAGAATCTCATTTGCAATGCTGACCTGGCCAAGAAGGCAGCAACGTTACACATAACACAAAAAAAAACGTACACTGACCAGGTCAGGTTGGTCAGGTTGGTCAGGTTTTCTCGTTATCCGTGTTTTTATTCAGACAACAACAACGGAAAAACGGCTTTGGTTTCCCGTTTTTTCGTTTTAAATCAAAAACGAAAAAACGGAAAAAAGCTGGTATTTTCGTTTTTTGGCTTTTGGTTTAAACGAAAAATCAAACTGACAAAAAGTACACGGACCAATAAAGGTTGGGAACCCCTGATTTATATAATATTTTGAAACCACTTTTTCTACAACTTTATATACATTTTGTCTCAAGACAAGTATGTTTAACACAACAAGTGCATATTTTCGCTTTTTGGGCATGGATTATTAGATTTTTTATATGGGGGACATGAAATGTCCTCCAATTCTGGAATGACCCAGTAGCACTAGCAACTAGCTACAATTGCACTTCCTAAGGCTGTACTTGGAAATACGTGTAATGCCATTCAATTGCTAGAAAGCCTCAATACCTTTAATAATGTAAACAGTTTTACTTTTTGGTTGCAAACATCTTCATGTAGAAGTATGGCTCGTTGGTCTAGGGGTATGATTCTCGCTTTGGGTGCGAGAGGTCCCGGGTTCAAATCCCGGACGAGCCCACCGTTTGTTAAAAGTTACTACATTTATACATCGCATGGTTTCTGAACACGATGTTCTTTCTCACCACTTATATAATACTTCTAAGATTAATATGATATGATGGGTTAGACTTGTATACAGTAACAAGTATCCGCATACGTGGCACTGAGTATATCCAAGCCAACCAGAAGTAGGTCAAGTCTTTGAACATTTCTCAATAAAACATTTCTCTTACTCTGTTTAGCAAACAATAACAAAACGTATTAAGACTCCTGAAATAATCGGAAACATTTAAAAATGTGTACTGTGTACAGTATTTGTTATAGCATACATCTCCCTTGTTCATGGTTATGTCTAGCCTATACAGTGTATGTTTCCTTTTTATGTTGTGATCTTTAAGGATAATTTTCATTGTCGAACAAGTCTATGGTTGTTTCATGTATAAATGCAATGGTTTAAAGTGCTGTTTTTCAATATGATAATACATTATATTTAAAATAAATACATTTAATGTGTTTTTAACTTTTTATATTTGTAATATGCTCGATGGAAAGCAATTTCCTTAAAACGTGTGGTCTTGCAGTACTCGCTATCGGCCAGGAGAGGGAGACAAAGCCGTTTGCAAAACCTGGAGGTGTCTACGTCACCAGCCGGCATGACCCCTACATCCTCCACGCTGCTGCTGCTGCTGAGATGTGATTTAATGGGAGGACAAATATGTCCGTCTGTGAATGAGTGAACGTACCAAGAGACATTTTATTTACCCGTGTGTGTTTGTGTGACACTTCGGTCTTGTCAGAAAAAAAGAGAGGACGCTAACTGCTCAGAGGAGTGGACGTCAAGCTGTTTTCTGCCCTCAACAGCATCACCGGGTAAGCTAATTGTCACGGCTAATAGGAAGAAGCCGGCTAGTGTTATGGCTCTTCCTTAGCTAGCTAACTGTAACCGGCTCACCGTGAGACGTATATTCAAATATCAGGTTTCTCGCACTTGGTTAGCTTAGTCGAGCGTGGTTGAGTCAAGACTTGCTATAGAAGCTAACCTAAGGTAGCTAAAGAAAGACTAAAATGATCTTGCTCATTTACTTGTATCCATCATTCGGTGTTTTACTATTGTGAAAATACAAATAAAAAATAGTGCGAAGGCAAACTTGTGGGTGTATAGGGAAAGCTTGCAATGGGTAATCCTCTATTCAAAGCATAGTATAACTTAGGATAGGTTAGTGTTTTATGCACTCCTTAAAATTATTCCTGTTTTTGATGGGGAAGGAGCAATCAGATCATTTACTTTACAATAATGCCACTCTGTCAACATACTAATAGGAGGAAAATCCCTGCATTCAAAACATGACTTAAGTCAGTATGTATCAGTAGAATGCAGCCTACATAAAGGATCAAAGCTATTTATTGTACAGTATGTGGTCCCTGTCAGTATTTTACGATATGTTTATTTGTTATCATCAGAGGTGGAAGAAGTACTCAGATCTTGTATTTGAGTAAATTGTCCTGCAATCAAAATATACTTAAAGTACACAAAGTAGAAGTACTCAATATGCAGATCGTCCCATTTCATAATAATATATATTTTGATTTTAATGATTGATCATGAAAGTGTTCTCAAAGCTGGTAAAGGTGCAGTTAGTTTGAATGACTTTGTATACTGCAGGGTAGCTGGTGAGTTCTACTCAGGTGGAACTAAAGTCTGATTTAAGTGTTTATTATATTTCACATCATTCATCCACATCTGCAAATTAACTAAAAGTATTCAATAAATGTAGTGGAGTAAAAGTACACGATTTACCTCTAAATTGTAGTGGGTTAGAAGTACTAAGTTGCATAATATCGAAATACTTAAGGAAAATACAAATCCCTTATAATTGTACTTAAGCACAGTGCTTGAGTAAAGTTTACTTAACATCACTGGTTATTATTATAAATGCTGCATTAATGTATATGTTGTATTTTACTGCTACAAATGTTAAAGGTTGTGTTTTTTTATTTTTTATATATTATTGTGTAGTTTAATATACAGCAATGTATCATAATCTATGTATTGTTTAGCCTAAGAAATTAAGTATTGTTTAAGCACATAAGGGAATACTTTACACATGCTTAGTTACATTCCAACACTTTCTGATTTTGAAACAGTCAGCATAATTATAAAGAAATCTCAGTCATCTGACAGCCTTCCTGTGGTCTCTGTCGTGGTGAGAAAAGGGCTCAAATCCCTGAGGAGAACTAGCAATCATGGTTCAGGTGACCATGATAAACCTAGAACAGTCATTTGTTTCTTCCAGGTCTATGCAATGGAAGATTTAAGATACAAAGGTGCTCTATTTTGCCCGTTTTCAGGTTCATGTTTGTATGTAGTGTCTATACTCTGACTAGGGGTGTAACGGTTCACAAACATTTCGGTTCGGTACGTTTTCGGTACAGCAGAACAAATGATCACAAAACATGATTTTTTTGGGGGGGGTTTTAATTATTATTAAACTGTGAATATTCACTCAAATACAAAATATAATAAAATAAACATTAAGGTGCAGCATTTCGATGAACTGAAATAATCTGTATTTGAACTGTACTAGTACCTAAGCAGCCAGCTTGACATTATGACTTGCTTGTCATTGTATTGTCATGTTTTTTTAAAGAAAAATGAACTTGCAGATCTGCTGGCACTAACAATGTCTCCTGCTGTGGAGAACACCCTCTCGCTCAGGACAGAGGTAGCAGATACAGCCAGGTACCGCTTTGCTAACATAGCAACATAAGGATATTTGGCGTTTGTAATAGCTTTGGCTCGGTCTGAACTCTCTGCGAGTGGTGGAGGCTTAAATGCTAGTGGGAGTTGGGTTTGCACTTCAGTCTTTTTTCTTTTGGTACCGGTGATATTCACGTTCGGGTGATGCCTTTTCAAATGAGTGTGCAAGTTTGATGTATTGCCAGCCGCGTAACCCATTTTAGTTTAACAATGCCGACAAACCGCTTTGGTTCAGTCCACCTGTCTTTGTCCGTCATCCTTGTACGTAACTGTGAAACCAAAATGTTCCCAAACCGGAGACTTCAATGATGCTGGAGGATTTTCAAGCTCAACTTTATCTGCGTTCGCCATTTCGACAGTTCCTCAAATTACTGACTATAACGGAACGCATCCCTGTGACCAGCTCTCATAGTATGCCTCTCGTCCAATGAAATGACTTGGTCGCTCTATGACGCGTTGAGCAAATTGTGAGCAAATTACTCTGAATGCTGCGACGCAGCACCTGAGATTACTTCCAAAAAGTTGTTCACGTTCTCAATTTTTTACGTGTAACGTTTAGGGATGCCAGTGATTATTCGATTATTCGAATATTCGTTACAGTCTCCATAATCGAATATTATTTTTAAAAATCGATTTTATTTATATATATTTTTATTATTATTTATGTTTTTTTCTTTTTTCTGGCTTAGTTTCAACCAAAATATATACTAATGCTAATAATAGTAATAGTATTAATAATTGTAAATGGCCATTGGTCACACCACCAGTTTGTTTTACTGTAAACTTGGAGGAAGCCTGCGTGCAGAGCAGACTGCTGCTGCAGCACGCTACACACCCCCCCCCCCCCCCCCCCACCCCCCCCTCACACGTGCGACTAAAGATGAACAAAGCGGCAGGTAAAAAGAGTTCCTCCTCGTGGAACTACTTCGAACTTATAAGTCCAAAGGAAGTTAAATGCAAGCTCTGCGAAAAGACGTTGGTCTATCACAGCTCAACCTCAGCAATGCGTTTTGAGTGCATCCATTTGAAGATGCACGATGCGCGCACAATTTATTTATTGCAATGCTGCTATTATTAATAATACAGGCTACAGCCTGTATTAATAATAGCATTGCAATAAATAAAATTGCTATAATAATATTTATTGCAATGCTGCTATTATTAATACAAGCTGTAGGCTGTATTTAATAATGGCAGCATTCAGTGGCGGCGCCAGAGTATTTGTGTTGGGTAATCTATGGTAGGGCTAACCCATACAGTGGTGGGGCTCATGTCAGTATTTGTAATATAATTACATACACGCTATATCGCCCCCCTTGACAGTGAAACGCACGCGTGAGGCTTAGCTTTTATTAGTCTCCTTGTATCAGCTAAATTACATCGAGAGCAACAAGTGTGAGTTAAACAATACAATAGCCTATTCTGCTAATTCCACGTTGTTACAACATGGTACGCAGCAGCAGAAACAAGAAAAGTTGGCATATAGAATTGACACGGAGAGAGAGAGAGAGAGTAATAATCGATTTTGATCATTGTCAGTTTCTGGCAACCCTAGTAACGTTATATTCGTTCACACGTGTACTGAACCGAAGGGCCCGTACCGAATAATTTCGGTACGGGTACGTGTACCGTTACACCCCTAGTGGAAAGGGAGGAAAAGGGAAACCCCCCCAAAGCAAAATAGTGCCCTTTTTAAGAAGGAACTCTTAAATCCTTGGCTCTTCCAACAATGCAACAATTTACTTGTACATCATTTGTAGAGCCTTCTTTATGGAATTGGTTTCAAACCACAGAAAAGCCATACAAATACATTTGCAGCTTGAGCAATACTGTAATCGGAATCAAAACTGAAATGTTTGCCATTTCAAGAAGAGCTGAGATTTAGGGTGTTGGTAATCAGTTATGTATTCTTTTTTTTTTAAACTGCTCCTGTTGGATGAATGTAACTAGTCAAAATAACCAAAAGTATCCTTCAAATGTATTTCAGAACTGTACAATTGTAAAACAAATTAAAACTGACACTTCATAACTGTTCTCAGGTGCAGGAAGTAGGTTACATGTGCCCTGTGGCTTTCTGCTTCCTGGTCTCTGACCTCTAAGCTGACCTCTGGGTAAAAGTGAGGGGTTGAGACAAACCAAGTCATGTTGGAACCCTTTAATTGATGGTGAATGGTGCCTTGTTGTACACTCAGGATGAGTAGACAATTCGTTAAGTGAACCCCGACATCATGCCCGTAGCCATCCTTCTCTCATCTAATGATAGTCTTGGTTTATGATATCAGCCTGAGGACTTAGCAATAATTATGGGCCTTGGGTGAAGGTGGATGTGTCGATGCTCAGGTGAACATCCCCCTGCTCTAACGGTATATAAAGTGAACCCTGATGAAACAGTGGAGAGCACAGATGTGAGAGACGAACCACACTCTCTCTAAGGAACATATTGCTCTAAATTGTGAGGGAATAAGCGAGGGACTGCTGCCGTTTGTGTCCTTAATCATAAAAGGTAGGCAATGCTTTATCCGAGTTCAATAGTGCTGTTTTTTCCTACATTTTAACTTGCTAGATTTACTAGATTCGCGAGCCCAGTGTGCTATTTAACATACCTTGCTTTATGCTTTAGAATGATCAGACATGTTTCTTTTCTGATACTGACACCAGAACAGCTGAGAGGAGCACTAAGGAGAGTAACCACAGCTGGGGTCTGATTCTGAGTCGACTTCCACACACGTGGCACTTTGAGAACTAGGTAATAACTGTCATATTTGTTAAGGGGATATGTAGGTGCTGCAGATAGTTAAACACATTCTGTTGAATTTAAGGGTGGGATCACCACATCTATCGAATAAATAATCATGATATCCATTTCAAAAGATGCTCTGTGTCTTGTCAGTTAGCTGAATATCTTTGTGTTTTTGGCAAAACATTGACCCGACACATTTTTCAGAAATGTCGGAGAACAAACAATGAATATAGAAAGAAAGCTACCAGTTAAATAATCTATAAAGAAATTCATTTTAAAATGCAGGCTTAAATACTTTTCGTGGTTGCTGACTTTTTTGATGAAATAAGTTGTAATGTGGTAGCCTCTTCCACCTCAAATGTGTCCACTTAT